ATTTGGTATACACCCGTCGACACAAAGCACCTGATCACCCTCCACCGGTGATACCTGTGATTACTTTTCCTGATACTAGTTCGACTCCGATCTCATGTCCTGAACCAGTATCTGCATCTTCAGATCTTGTTTCCACATCAGATCTTGATCTCCCAATTGCAGTACGTAAAGGTACACGGTCTTGTACTCATCCTATTTCTTCATTTGTGTCGTACAATCAGTTATCTCCTGCTTCATGTTCTTTTATTGCTTCCATTGATTCTATTTCTGTTCCCAAATCTGTCAAAGAAGCTTTGTCTCATCCTGAATGGCGTCAAGCCATGGTAGAGGAAATGAATGCTTTAGATCTTAATGGTACATGGGATTTGGTTGACTTACCTACAGGGAAGAAATCTATTGGATGTAAGTTGGTCTTTGCTGTTAAGGTTAACCCAGACGGATCTGTTGCTCGGTTGAAAGCCCGATTAGTTGCGAAGGGTTATGCTCAAACCTATGGTGTTGATTATTCTGACACTTTTTCTCCTGTTGCTAAATTAACATCTGTCAGGTTACTTATCTCACTCGCTGCAATTCATGATTGGCACTTACATCAGTTGGACATTAAAAATGCATTTTTGCATGATGACCTTAAGGAAGAAGTCTATATTGAGCAACCTCCGGAATTTGTTGCTCAGGGGGAGTATGGTAAAGTTTGTTGACTTCGCAAATCTCTTTATGGTCTGAAACAGAGTCCTCGTGCATGGTTTGGGAAATTCAGTCAATCAATTGAACAGTTTGGAATGATAAAAAAAGGCAAATCAGACCACTCTGTCTTTTACAAACAAACAGAATCAGGTGTCACATTGCTTGTGGTATATGTTGATGATATTGTGATTACAGGGAGTGATAATGCAGGTATTTTGGCCCTTAAGAATTTTCTGCATAGTCAATTCCAGACGAAAGATCTTGGCTCTTTGAAATACTTTCTGGGAATTGAGGTAACACGAAGTAAGAAAGGCATATGTCTATCTCAACGTAAATATGTACTTGACTTACTAGCTGAGACAGGGAAATTAGGGGCAAAACCAAATACAACACCCATGGGTTCCCAACATGCAACTCACTCAAGAAGGCACACCGTTTGAAGACCCAGAAAGATATAGAAGACTGGTTGGAAAGCTTAATTATCTCGCAGTCACCCGTCCAGATGTTGCTTATTCTGTGAGTGTAGTGAGTCAATACATGTCATCTCCGACCATTGATCATTGGGCTGCTGTAGAACACATATTATGTTACTTAAAGGGAGCACCAGGACGAGGTATTGTTTATCAAAACCATGATCACATGAGAATAGAATGCTTTGCAGATGCTGATTGGGCCGGTTCTAAAGATGATCGAAGATCTACATCTGGCTATTGTGTCTTTGTTGGTGGTAATCTTGTATCCTGGAAGAGTAAGAAACAGAATGTGGTTTCTCGTTCTAGTGCTGAATCAGAATATCGAGCTATGGCACAATCCGCATGTGAGATAATATGGATACACCATTTATTGAATGAAATTGGATTGAAGACACCAATGCCTGCTCAGTTGTGGTGCGATAACCAAGCTGCTATACACATAGCAAACAACCCCGTATTTCACGAGAGAACAAAGCATATTGAGGTTGATTGCCATTTTATTCGAGAGAAGATACAAAAAGGATTAATCTCTACCGGGTATGTGAAGACTGGAGAACAACTTGGAGATTTATTCACTAAAGCTCTAAATGGGATTCAAGTTGATTACTTAAGTAACAAGTTGGGCATGATAAATATCTATGCTCCAACTTGAGGGGGAGTGTGAAAGTATTATTGTATCTAGGAATATGCTTTAGGAATATGCTCTAGAATATGCTTTAGGAATATACTCTAGACATTATTATTGTATAGCATCTTATATAGGAATATTCCATCTTTGTAATATATATATAGGGCCTTAACCCTCTAATGAAAAAAACACAGAAAATCCTTTTCTCCATTTTAATATCATTTCAGTTTCTATTTCAACATGAAAGATGAGGGTTCTTATCCCATTGGATACACAATTGAAATTGTTCATAAGTCAAGTGACAAATCTTGCACATGAGTGGGGCCGACACTTGAAATCTATGGTTACCTTGTTTTGCTAATATTGCCAACTAAGGAGTATATAATAGTAGGTCTCACTCCTAAGGATTTTCCTATCCAACACCGACTCCATAAGAATAATAGTCACAACTAACTACGAAGCCAGCAGGCTATACACATCAGGTCAATAAGATGTCTTCACGGGTGCTAGAAGTTGATCAGGTCTAGACCAGAACAAGCATTATAATCCGATGAAATTAAGTTTTAGCATTGATTGTTTTTTGAGCACCACCACCACTATGGGAATCACTACTTCTGCGGTATGAATTAATATAGTCATTCATGTACCTCCCCAATCCTATTCATTCGTCCATTTTATCCAAAAACACTCGCATGAAGAAAGTTATACAAAGTTTTTAAATTCAGTGATGATATTCATTCTGCAAGGTTTTTTTCCATCATTTGCAATGGAGTCAAAGATTCATTATTTTTTGGCTTGAGATTATGATGGAATAAAGCAAAATGGGTCACTAAACTGTCTGCGCTTCTTTGTTATGAAGCAGTCAATCCATGCAATTTTGGACGGGATTTTCACTATGGGTCACCCGGAAACCGTCTCTGTGTGTTTTAGTACAGGGGTAAGACTGCGTACATCCGACCCCCCTTACCCCACCGTAAGTGGGAGCCTTTACGGCACTGGGGTAAATGGAAATGAAATGAAAATGATATTTATTCTGCAAGGAAACCAAAATTTGGTTTTAGCTGTGGCATGATAAGGAATTAGAGGCACTCTAGGACTCTAATATTATTTTCCTTTAGCAACTAGGGCTCGCAGGAAGAGGAGCTTAGTTGCACATATGATAGGTAACGGAACAATCACATTAGATAATTGAAGTATATTTATGAAGATTTAATGAAGGAAAACATAAACAATGAAAGAAAACATAAACAACGAAAGAAGAAGGCCGAGACTCTTCGAGTGGCCTCACGCTCCCAAATTCCAATCCCCAATCCCAAAGTTCTTCCCTCCCCCATCTACTCACCCTTACTTATTCTATTCCTAATGGGCCAACCCACTTTTATTTAGTTATAGGGCCTAAAACCCTATTATTGACAATATTAAAATTACTTAAGAAGACTCTTATTATTGGTAGGGTCCGGTCCCTAACATCACCCCCCTTGAACTTCCAGCTTGTCCTCAAGGTGGATGATAATAGACTGATTTGGCATTTGGTTTCAGCATTTTTTCAGCTTCATCCCATTCATATAGCTGATCTTCCGTTCCTTCTCTTCTTCTGGCTCTTCCATCAAGACAAATTGATAATGTTTCATTCCACAAGCATGTTCTTTGCTCCATTTTTTTCCACATTTGAAGCATAAGCCCTTTTTACTTCTTTCTTCTAAATCTAATTATGTGAACCTTTGGCCTCCCTCCCATGTCTTATTCGGTTTTGGTGATTCCTCCAGTTTGTTCTCTGAATGTGTTCTCTCCAGCATCATAGCAGATTTCATCCCTTTGTTGCTTCCACCCAGTTCAAGGGTCTAACCATTTTCCCTCCTTGTTCCTTCCATCCTTTTTTGTCTTCTGTATATTTTTCTCCTTTCCACACCTTCTTCTACTCCAACGACAAAGCCTTTTCTGTGAGTTCAGTTAACCCACTTGTCTGGTACAACTTCAGCTTTGTGCTAATTTCTTCTTTAAGGCCATTGAGAAACACTCTTTTTAACATCTCTTGGTCAGCAAGTTTGAGAGTAGCTACAACCATTTCAAAGTGATCATGATACTCCATTACTGAATCAGTTTGCCTAATACTGAGCATAGGACCAAACGGGTTCTGTACTAAGGCTGTAAGGCAGGTTGGAAACGCCGGATCAAAGCCTCTTTGAAGTTAGCCCAAGAATGGTCAGCTGTATGTGCATCCCACCATTGGTACCAGTTCAGAGCTTTTCCGACCATGGCTATCATGATTATTTCTACATTATCCTCTTCTGCCACCTGGTTGAGTTTGAAATAGCGTTCAACCCTGATAAGCCATCCATAAGCATCGTCTCCACTAAAAAGTGGTAAATCGACCTCTTTTCCAGTATATACACGATCGTTGATTCTCGTCTGATCAGGGTTACGTGAAACTGAGTGAGTTTCGCGAGATTTACCTTCAGAACTGGAGAAGCTCACGCTTGCGGAAGTTTGGCGTCGACGGTTTGTGGTCGATCGTCCTCCTCTTCCTGCGATTGCCTTGGGTGTCAAGACTTTCCATCTTCTCTAACAGCGTCTGCATCCATTCGTCCATCATTGATTTCATCTCAGTGCGCATATCTGCCATAGATCGCTCCAGCGATATCTCCAGATTATTTATCTGCTGCTCCATGTTTGATCGAGTGAGGACCATACAAAGGTGCAGCGATCGAGGGCTCTGATACCAATGATAGGTAGCGGAACAATCACAGTAGAGAATTGAAGTATATTTATGAAGATTTAATGAAGGAAAATATAAACAACGAAAGAAGAAGGCTGAGACTCTTCGAGTGGCCTCAGACTCCCAAATTCCCAGTCCCAATCCCAAAGTTCTGCCCTCCCATCTACTCGCCACTCACCCTTACTTATTCTATTCCTAATGGGCCAGCCCACTTTTATTTAGTTATAGGGCCTAAAACCCTATTATTGACAATAATGAAATTACTTAAGAAGACTCTTATTATTGGTAGGGTCCGGTCCCTAACAACATATCTTTGTCCAAACCAATTCTTGTAGATCATAAATCTAAGCTTTTTAATGACTGCTCAATGTTGGTGTATGTTGACCCTGAAAATGCAGTTCATTATATGCACAATATGTGGGTAGAGCTTCTAATCTGCCTATTTTATATAAACAAATTATTATGGGCAGTTATAATTTCCATATGGTATTTGTTTTAGGAGGGAAACTTTGAACCAACAAAAAATGAACAAGAGCATGCTTTCCTGCTGCAGCTTCTATTCTGGTTCAAAAAATCATTCCAGTATGTTCCAATTGTGCATCATTGCTTTGAGGTGTAATACAGATCAGTCCATTCAAATTGAGTGCCTATATCCCTACTAAACTGAGCGTTTTTCATATTCAGTTAGTTTGTATTATGGTTCAGAATTTTACATTTTGGATTGCATATCCTATGATTCTATATTAAATAGTATGCTTGTATATGCATTTGATATTAGTTGCAAACTTGAGATCCCGTCTTACCATGTTTCAACTTGGCAATTGCTTACCAATTACCATTAAGGAGTGTTTTCCCTTGCTTAAAAAAGGTGCTTTTCAGCTTTCAGCTTTTATCTTTAAAATGTTAAAAGTGGTGTTTTCAAAGAGGTGTTTTAAATATTTAAGCACTTTAAAGCTAAAAGCTGAAAACAGGAAGAGTGGTGCTTTAAATTGCTGTTCACTTTTTCTTTTACACAAAAACTACCTTTTTATCATATACTATCCTCCGCATCATATTAGTTGCAACTTTGCATTTTATACACTATTCATGTACCCTACTTTTACTGCATTTTATTTATTAATACATGTGATTTTTTTTTCCGAAAAATATTGTTGAATTCGTCTCATTACTAAGTTTCATAATCTGATTTTTTAACGAATACAGAATTAAATATAATTACGGTCAAAGTTGTGCGTTGACAAACGTGAAAAAGGGAATGTTGCAACTTAAAAAGAATGGAGGAAATACTAACTTTTACTTTTTCAAAATCACATTCCTTTTCGAACATTACCAACTTTTAGTATTGAGCACTTTTCATAAATCTCTAAAATAAATCACTTCTCAAAAGTAGAAGCAAACTCAAACATTCCTCGAGCATTACTCTAAAACTACACTTGTCCATCTGTGACTAAGTTGTGAAGCCACTCTTAATAATTATAGGAGTGTTTTAGTGTTTATGTTACTAGTCTTTTGAAGTAGAATAATAGATGTTACCCACGATGTTACCCACATTAGCTGTGTATTGGGTTTGAGTGTATATACTAGGCATGGCAATGGGTCGGGGTGGGGTGGGTACTGCAAGACCCAGACCCGCCCCGTGACCTGCACTGGTCCAAACTTGTTGACCCATGACCCGCCCCATGCGGGGCAGGTCCGCCCCGCCCCGCCGTAACCTAATTAGCTAGTATATATTTTTATTTGTGAGAAGTTGTTACCAATTGAATCTACATAAAGTTTATCTTTAAATAATTTTTAAAAATTAATATTTTAAATCAAATTCATGATACGTTAGAAATTTCAAAAGTTAAGGAAAAATCACTTATACTTGAATAGTTAATCTATTTAATTATATTAATACTTGAATATATGTATTAAAATGCTCTATATAAACAAGACATTGATAATTCGTCGTTCATCTCAATATAATATATATACTCCCTCCGGTCCTTAATGAAGTTTACACTTTGACTTCACACATATTAAAGAAATAAATTTGACTTTACTGTAGAGTACACTGTTTGACACTGTTTACACTGATTGGCACTGTTTAACACTGTTTGGTGTAGATTTGTTTGCCAAATAAGGCAAATAAGGAAGTGTAAAGTTTAATATGGGACGGTCCAAAAAGGAAAGTGTAAAGTTAATTAAGGACCGGAGGGAGTATATATATTGATATATTATAAGATCAAGGAATTTATGATTTATTGTATATGTTGAAGTATATTTGTAGTATAATTTAAGAAAAAATATGTATATACTTATATATTTAGCGGGTCAGGTCGGAGCGGGTCAGGGCAACACGGGTCAATACTAATACCCGGACCCGCCCCATTGTATAGGCGGGGCGAGACGGACCCGCCCCTTTTGCAAGATGGGGCGGGCCAAACCCGCCCCAAATGTCTCGGACCACGGCGGGTCATTGATGGTCGGTTTTTTTTGACATCCCTAGTATATACTAGTCTTTAGTAGTATATACTATATAGGTGTGAGTTAAATACCTCTTGAAGATTCTTTTGATATGAGCCTGCTATGATGGTGGTTATTGGAGCACCAACCCACTTTTTAGTTTGGGATAGCCTGTTTGGGCCGGTTTGTACCCATTGTCTACATTTTAGTTTTCTGGTTGGTATATGTCTGAAGAAAGCTCATTTTTTGAGGATTGTTTCGAGATGAGCCTGACCGAATTTGGCATTAAGATTTCAACTAGTTTGTACTCATCAATTTCAGGTGGGTAAATGCGCCTCCTTGTGATAGTTGCGGTAATGAAACTAGCAATGAGGGCATGGGCACTGCATACCCTTCAGAACTGCAATTTGGTGCTTCACGAGTTGAACTTTACCAGTATGTTTTCTCCAGATATTGTTGTCCACATAATTGGTAGTTGACTGAGTTTAGTTAATGACTTCCATAAAATTTCACTCTTTTCTGTATATAATTACAGTAGTCATGCGTATTGCACACTGCACATTTATGAAAATGGCAATTATACTTTCTCTCATTCTTCGACTGAATGTCTTTGGCTCATCAACAGTTTGCATAGCCATTGGGCATCAAGATTGTTGAGAGTAAGAACTGGACTTCAATAGAATTAAGGATTGAGTTGGAGTCGCTTGTTGTTAGGGACACAGACACTACCAATAATAAGAGTCTTATTAAGTATTTTTAATATTGTTCAATAATAGGGTTTTAGGCCGAGTAACATAATTGTGGGCTGGCCCTTTAGGAGAGTATTATATACTCCCTCCGTATTTTAATGTTCACTACATTAGGTTGGACACATAATTTAAGGAGTAAAGTAGTAGGGGTAGTGAATAGTGTGGAAAAAGTAGGAGAGAGTGTGTAAAAGTATAAAAGAGAAGATAAAAAGTAGATAAAGGGGTAGTTGAGTATTTTATAAAGGGTAAACCGGTAAACTTACCAAAATGGAAGTGTAGTAACTTTTAAATACATCCCAAAAGGGAAAGTAAGAAAGTGTAGGATCAGTATTCAGTACTGGGAATTTGGGAGTGCGAGACCACTTAAAGAGTCAACCTTTTCTTTAGTTATTTTCTGTCTTCATTCATTAAAATCTTCATTAATATACTACCAATTTCTACTGTGTTTGTTCCGTTACTTATCATTGTTATATATCAGAACCATTGACGATAGCTATACCTGCACATGGTCTTGACTCGATCGTGAACGGAGTAACGTGTAGAAAACCTAGAAAACACCTTAGGGGAAGTGAAGACTGCCATGAACGAACTGCTTGGCTTGCGGAGACAGTGGCCGAACTGAAGAATCTGATGTTACAAGGTGATCGCTATAGGAGAACAGGACGGTCGCGGGTGTCTAAACATCTGCGCCGGGACAAAAGTGTGAACTCTTCGCATACCACAGGTAAGTCTAACAGTTCTCACGCCTTATCCCGTAGTCCGGAAACTGCTGTAGACCGATGTTATGCTCGCACGGGCAGGAAGGTTGTTTCCCTGTTTTTAATGGGGAGGATGCACATGGATGGATAATTAGGGCTGAGAGGTTTTTCTGGTTGAATCAAGTGAAGGAAAATGAAAAAATAGAAATGGTGGTAGTAGCTCTGGAGGACAAGGCTTTAAACTGGTTTCAGTGGTGGGAGGAACACACCACTGTTCATAGCTGGGAAAATTTAAACGAATAAGCGTTTCGAAGGTTCCAGCTGGAGATGGTTCAAAACCCATTTGGTCCCGTGCTTAGCGTGAAACAGACAGGGTCAGTTATGGAGTATTGGGACAAATTTGAACTGGTAGTAGCACCCATTAGAACTACTGACAATGAAATGTTTAAAGGTATTTTCATGAATGGCCTGAAGGCTGAAATCAAAGCTGAACTCAAATTATTCCCAACTCATTGTCTGACCGAGCTCATGGACCCGGCACTTTTACTGGAAGAAAAAAATGCAGCACCAAGGATAAGAAGTTCCAAGGAGGAAGACAAGCGAGGTGGGAAAGAAAAAGGGGAGACTGTATCCAAGCCTCAACAGTGGATAGAAGGGAACTGGTGGAAACATGACCAAAATAATACCAGCCTCATTGAGAAATGTGGAAGTATATTAGAATATACTTTAGAATATGCTTTAGAATATATTAGGAATATACCATATATATTATTATTGTATAGAATATTATATAGGAATATTCTATTTGTAATGTATATTTATAGGGACTTCCACAACTAATGAAATACACAGAAAATCCTTCTCTTCATCTTTAGTATTCTAATTCTACTAGTTTATACTTCAACATGGTATCGGAGCATTTAGACTTTTATTAGAGCATCAAAGAAATTTCAGAATCTCAGCTTGTTCTTCATAGAATCAGTTCTCAAATCATCAGAGCTTTCAGCTCTTTCTTCATCACCGCCACTCCCAGAGGGTGCTCTTGCTGCCAGCAACCAGCACCCTGAAGTTTGAAGCAGAAAGTTCAGGGTTCAAGTGTCCTCTATCTACCGGTGTAATTCGTTGCCAGGTTTTCTCGAATTTTGAATTTCAATTTCCTTTCCATTCGTCCGCCACAGCAGATTGGAAAACTCTTGCTGAACAGTCTGAACGAAAGAAAGCCTTTCGGTTCAGTTACTTTGGCAGATTATTTTGCTGAGCAGTCTTAACCAAAGATTTCAGATTTGTCCGGCACTGTATTTCAGATTCGTCATACACATCTGCTGTGAGACCAGTAGGGCAGATTTTGAAAGCTTTATTTTGGGAACCACCCACTGCATTAAAATCAATGATGTACAATTCTGTCATTTAAAAAAAACTGAAAAAAAAATGGCTTGTACGGGTCAGTTTGGTAGAGAACTAATATGCAATTACTGTAAGAAGCCCGGTCACTTGATCAAAGAATGCAGAAAATTGCTGTTCAAAAATCAAGGAAATCAGCTTGCTCATGTTGCTTCCGCTACCAGTTCATCTGATGGATCAATTGCTATTTCTACAGACGAGTATGCTAAATTTATTCTCTACCAAGAATCTCTAAAGCATTCCTATGTCCCTATCTCGGTAGTCGCAAATTCAGGTATTTCAAACACATGTCTTGTTTCATCATTCTCGAAATGGTCCGACCTCGATCTCATGTCCTGAACTGGTACCCGCTTCTTCAGATCTTGTCTCTACATCAGATCTTAACCTTCCGATACCACTACGTAAAGGTACACGATCTTGTACTCATCCTATTTCTTCATTTGTGTCATATAGTCAGTTATCCACTACCTCATGTTCTTTTATTGCTTCCATTGATTCTGTTTTTGTTCCCAAATCTGTTAAAGAAGCTTTGTCTCATCCTGAATGATGTCATGCCATGGTAGAGGATTTTGTAGACTTGCCTACATGGAAGAAATCTATAGGATGTAAGTGGGTCTTTGATGTTAAGGTTAACCCCGACGGATCTGTTGCTCGGTTGAAAACTCGATTAGTTGCGAAGGGTTATGCTCAAACCTATGGTGTTGATTATTCTGACACTTTTTCTCTTGTTGCTAAATTAACATCTGTCAGGTTACTTATTTCTCTCGTTGCAACTCATGATTGGCACTTACATCAATTGGACATTAAAAATGCATTCTTGCATGGTGACCTTCAGGAAGAAGTTTATATTGAGCAACCTCCGGGATTTGTTGCTCAGGGGGAGTATGGGAAAGCTTGTCGACTTCACAAGTCTCTTTATGGTTTGAAACAAAGTCCCCGTGCATGGTTTGGAAAATTCAGTCAATTAATTGAACGATTTGGCATGATAAAAGGTCAATCAGACCACTCTGTCTTTTACAAACGAACGAAAGCAAGTATCACATTGTTTGTGGTGTATGTCGATGATATTGTGATTACAGGGAGTGATACTGCAGGTATATTGGCTCTTAAGAATTTTCTTCATAGCCAATTTCATACGAAAGATCTCGGCTCATTGAAATACTTCTTGGATATTGAGGTAACACAGAGCAAGAAAGGCACATTTCTATCTCAACGCAAATATGTATTTGACTTGCTAGCTGAAACAGGGAAGTTAGGGGCAAAGCCAAGCAATACTCCTATGATTCCTAATGTACAACTCACTCACGAAGGTGTGTCGTTCGAAGATCCAGAGAGATATAGAAGATTGGTTGGAAAACTTAATTATCTCGCAGTTACCCGTCCAGATATTGCATACTCAGTGAGTGTAGTGAGTCAGTATATGTCATCTCCCACAGTTGATCACTGGAATGCTGTAGAACATATATTGTGTTACTTGAAGGGGACACCAGGATGAGGTATTGTTTAGCAAAATCATGATCACATGAGAATAGAATGCTTTGCAGATGCTTATTTGGTTGATCTAAAGATGATAGAAGATCTACATCTGGCTATTGCGTCTTTGTTGGTGGTAATCTTATCTCCTGGAAAAGTAAGAAGCAAAATGTGGTTTCTCGATCTAGTGCCGAAACAGAATATCGTGCTATGGCACAATCGGCATGTGAGATAATCTGGATAAACCATTTGTTGAGTGAAATTGGATTGAAGACACCAATGCCTGCTAAACTGTGGTGTGATAACCAAGTTGCTATACACATTGCCAATCACCCAGTGTTTCATGAGAGAACAAAACATATTGAGGTCGATTGTCATTTTATTCGAGAGAAGATACAAAAAAGGATTGATCTCTACAGGATATGTGAAGACTGGGGAACAACTTGGAGATTTGTTCACTAAAGCACTGAATGGAATTCGAGTTGGTTATTTATGTAACAAGTTGGGCATGATAAATATCTATGCTCCAACTTGAGGGGGAGTGTGAAAGTATATTGGAATATACTTTAGAATATGCTTTAGAATATATTAGGAATATACCATATATATTATTATTGTATAGAATATTATATAGGAATATTCTATTTGTAATGTATGTTTATAGGGACTTCCACAACTAATGAAATACACAGAAAATCCTTCTCTTCATCTTTAGTATTCTAATTCTACTAGTTTATATTTCAACAAGAAGGTTTCTGCCAATATTATAACAAAGGAAGCACCAATACTGAACCAAACATGGGAGGGAGGCCAAAAGTTGACACGAGCAGAGTTAGAAGAAAGAAGCAAGAAGGGCCTATGCTTCAAATGTGGAAACAAATGGAGCAAAGAACATGCTTGTGGAATGAAACATTATCAATTTGTCTTTATGGAAGAACTAGAGGAAGAGAAGGAAACAGAAAATCAGCTATATGAACGGGATGAAGCTGAAAACCCCCTGAAACCAAATGCCAGATCGATCTCTTATCATCCTTGTTTCATGACAAGGTGGAAGTTCAAGGGTGGAGTGATGTTAGGGACCCGAACACTACCAATTATAAGAGTCTAATTAAGTATTTTTAGTATTGTTCAATAATAGGGTTTCAGGCCCAGTAACATAATTGTGGGCTGGCCCTTTAGGAGAGTTTTATATAAGAGGGAGTAAGGGGAAGAATAAGGGAGGAATTTTTGGGATCAGTACTGGGAATGTGGGAGTGCGAGACCACTCAAAGAGTCTAAACCTTTTCTTTCGTTATGTTCCGTCCTCCTTCATTAAAATCTTCATTAATATACTACCAATTTCTACTGCGATTGTTCCGTTACTTATCACTTGTCTGGGTCATGAGACACTTGACCAAACCACATTAAATGATTAAGCCCAATTTATTAGCTAGTTCTATCCAAGATCTTATTAGCGCATCATTCTTTCGTTCATTTTCCAATGTGTTACTGTAACACTATCCTCAAGTGGATAATTGGACCATTTTGCATCTAACTAGTTGGTCAATCACAAATTGGACGCTTTTTTCTCCGAGACTGAAACTCGAAATGTAGCGGCAGGACTAAAAGCATCAGAGCTGTTGGGGCTGGTCTTCTAGAGAGTTAACTGGTTTGAATAGGCCACTTTCCACTAGGCTTCAGGCAGACAATTTGAGTTGAATGGGCCACGAGCTGCTAGGGTTAGACTTCCAGATGCCCGGGTTAATGATCATAAGCAAAGGGATGGACTTCAGGACACACAATCTGATAAACAAAGTGGACCAAAACTTTCTATTATATTATGTCAGAATCCAGGGTTAAGTTAGGGTCACTTGCTTGGCCCATAAGGCACCTGGGCAAACCATACTGAAAGATGGAATCTAATATATTACGTACTATATACTACCTCCGTCCCAAAATGATGGTCCTGTATTTCCTATTTGGAGTGTCCCAAAATGATAGTCACCTTTCCTTTTTGGTAAAGAAATTGAAGTAGACCATCATTTATACCCCTACTTTTTAATGAACATTAAAAGTAAAGGAGTGAACAATACAATAAACTAAGGTTATATGAGTCCTTCTACCACTTTTTCTTAATATTTGAGCCCAAAAAGTATAGGACCATCAATTTGGGACGGAGGGAGTAATAGCTAGTCAACCCATATTGTTATTTACCTATCATTATATCTGTTACAGAGTACTTTATATTACCGAACTTAAATAGGTACAGAGAGTAAACAAGTTTAGATAGTAGAGTCCACCACTTTCTCTTGCACTACCAATCGTCTTCCCAGAGCGTTGGTCCTGAAACACACAACCATTTGACACAAATTTTACAACACAATCAGAATCGTGAGCAAGTTTACTGACTGACACAAGGTTGCATAATAAGTTGGGCACATGTAGGACATTGTTTAAGGTAATAAACGGAGATATAATGATAGAACCTTTTCCAGCAATTGCGGATAGGGAACCATCTGCGATTTTTACCTTTTGAGTACCCGAACAAGGAAAGTAATTAGAAAACATGTAGGAAGACCCAGTCATGTGATCAGTAGCCCCTGAATCAATGATCCAAGGGTTGGATTTTTCTAAACTTACACTAAGGGCGGCTGCTAAGATACCTTTTTGCGCCAGAGATGATGAAGAATGGGCTGAGATATTTGAGGTTGGGGTATTTGAAACTGATGTATATGGAGTAGTGATGTTGGTATTAGCAGACCGATGAGTATTCCAGGACTGAAACAATTGTTCTAGGCTATCCTTGGTGAAGGAGAAGGTGTCGCTTGATGTGTTTGCTTGATCTCCAGATGCAGCGAGGAAGCCTCCTTTGGTATTGCGTGAGACTCGGTTGGAAGGGGTGAACTCAGCTGGCTTGCCGTGAATCTTCCAGCACTTTGCCTTGATGTGCCCGATTTTGTGACAAAAATCACACACTGGCCGTTCTTGATTCTTATTAGACTGCTGCAAAGGATATGGGGACTTGAAATTTGGTTTTGAGATCATCAGTGCAGATGTTTCAATGGGTAAAGAGGTGGATTCATCTCTGAGCATCACATGTCGACGACTCTCTTCGCGACGAACCTCAGTAAACACCTCTTGTGCACTTGGCAGTGGGTCTCGGCCAAGGAGTCTCCCTCGAACTTCATCAAGTTCTTTGTTCAGACCAGCAAGGAAGTCGAAAACTCTTTCTTTTTCAACAATTTTCCGATAGAGGGCAGCATCCTTCGGGCAGTGCCATTTATAATCACAAAACAGATCATACTCTTGCCAAAGAGTCATGATATCAGTGTAGTACTGAGTTACACTCTTCTCCCCTTGTTTCGCCTTTCCCAATTGTGTCTTGATCTCAAATAATTGCCCAGCATTCCCCAAGCATTCCCCAAGTCTGAGTAGGTTTCCTTTAGGGCATCCCAGATGGCATTCGCGGATGGCAGAAACAAATAGGTTCTGCCAATTTCTGGTTCCATCGAGTTCACCAACCATGACATAATCATGGAATTCTCGGCCTCCCATCGTTCATATCCATCATCTTTGGGGCCTGGCTGAACTGTTGTTCCTGAGAGGTAGCCAAATTTGCCTTTTCCTTGGACGAAAAGCTTGACTAACTGTGACCACGGGAGGAAATTACTTCCATTTAGTTTGATGGAGGTAATCGCCGGATTCTGCATAGAATCAAAAGCGATACAGGGTTTGGTTCGGGCGGAGTCACCAGTTGAGCTGGTGCTGATATCGCTCGAGTTCAGGCCTGCCATGGAAGTTGGCGATACGGCTCTGATACCATAAAAGAAGAAAATAGGCGGAATTAATTTTCTTCTCATTTACCGAACTTAAATAGGTACAGAGAGAATCCTGGAAATCCTGGGAATTAATTGATTCCCTAGAATAAAAGGATCTACAATATCAAAAAGATAATCTACCTTAAATACAATTCTAATCAAGGCAAGAGATAATTCTACAATTCTACAATTAATTACAATTACTATGCGCCTAAAATAGATGATTTTGTCCAATAACCTAAAATAGATTATTCTGTCCAACATTACGAGAGTAGATTGGCATGCCTTGTAGACATACAAAGCGAACAAGGAACTTGAAAACAATGTGCAAAAAAGAGAGCTTGTTTTACAATCCTATGGTTGTAAATCCAGGTTCCAGAATCGTGTGTCCCTATATCGTGCGCTATAAAATAATACGTAGTAATATTTAACAAAGTAGGACTCTAAAATAAAGTAATACTCCTCTCTTTTTCTGATTTCTTTGTTGTAGGACTGCCCTTCCCAATAAAAACAAAAACTAAATATGGAAAAAATCTCAAGATCAATGTGCTTGTTTTTAATATGACTCTTGTTTTCAATCTCCACAGATGCCATTCTTGCTCAAAGGTGACCCGATTTCCTCGATACAATGACCCGATGAAGGTATTTAGCTTGCTCTTACAATGGTCTCGTTCGGTTCAAGGGGTGGGACGTGGGAGGTAGGGAAATCTAATGTTTCATCTTACCTTGTTTAGTTTTAAATGGGAGTGAAGAGAATGATTCTTATGAGAATCACTGCGAGTATAGTTCCCTTTAAAAGAAGAAGGAAATAATTTCATCACCAGCTTAAGATTCCTCGCAGCAAGCTTCATCATTTATTTTGCTTTCATTTTTTAAAGTTCTAATTGAATCCTGATGTTGACATAAAATAAATGCTCTGTAGTGTAAACAGAAAATATTAGAAATCATATAAGGTCATTTGTGATTTACAAGAAGACTCAATCTGATCATTGGCTCATCGCTCTTGTTGACTAAGCATCCAATTAATTTACAAAAAGGACTGGGAGAAAATAAAGTAATAGCGTTGTGGTCCATAATTTTACCAGCAAGGCAGCAACTAAGAAAAGATATGAACATTAAAATAGTTAAAAGAACTATTAAAGAGAACAATTTAGGTTCACCGAGAATGAGCCTGGTGGCTGTTTGGCTGGAGGGTGTAGATTGAGTACAAAAGTTAGCTCCCCTCCGTTAATACTTAAACCCCAAATTGGAGGGGTCAAAATTTAGGGGAGGGGAGCGGAAGTGTTTGAGTCAAACCCTTCTAAATTTCTGAACCAATTGAGGGTTCGGAGCTTTTACCCTTCCTCCCCTTGAAAATTCTCTAACCAATTATTATACTTCAATAGGATTCCATTTTACACTTTTTGACAGTCTTTTTTTTTATGTTTTGCATGCAGCTCCTAGAAACAAGGAAGGGGCGATGTGGGGAGTGGGCCAATTGCTTCACACTCTATTGCCGAGCTTTTGGTTTTGAATCACGCTTGGTAATACTTTTTCCAGTTTTCACCCTAGTAAGCCAGAGAGCTCACTACCAATACAAGTAGTGAATATAGAAGCATATTTATAATTTTATATAGTAACAAGACTTTTACTGATTAAACTCACACCTTGATAATTCAGTGGCTGCCTCGTGCTCTTAATTTCTCTTTTTTTTGTTTATTTTCCAGATTTTGGACTTTACAGATCATGTATGGACAGAGTGCTTCTCACAATCCATGGGAAGGTAAAAACATTCATCACTAACGTGACTCTATCTTCCATGCACATGTGACTTGGAAACTCACTATTGAGTGCAGATGGATGCATCTTGATCCGTGCGATGGAATTTATGACAATCCATTACTGTATGAGAAAGGGTAAATTCTCTTTATCCATGTTTTTGAAGTCAATATGCTTCCAAGTTCGGACTTCATTGTTTCTCCATTTCTTTCAAAGGTGGAAAAAGAAATTAAACTATGTGATAGCTATTGCCAAAGATGGAGTTTATGATGTTACTAAGCGTTACACAAGGAAGTGGCTTGAGGTACATAGATTCTAATTTTAGCAAAAATGCTCTTAGGTGTCTCAAATTGGATATTTATCGAGTTTGGGACTTGGGTTTAATGTATATATTATGAGGTACACCAACTCTTGAAATATTTTTGGGACAAGTTAAGTCCAATTTAGTAGTGTCTTTTTAAGTGTTTTTGTTTGTTTGTTTGGCAACTCATGACTTGTTGCCAGACTTTAGAGGCGCAGTCAGAAAAAATATTAGGGTGGGCCCATATGAATAAATTTCCTAATAATTGTTTACGCATAAAATAGAGGCTTTTTTCAAATTTGGCCAGACCGGGACCTAATATGCCCCCCCCCCCCCCCCCCCCCCCCTTAATCACGCCAGTGCTTGAGGCTGCCCATTTTGAATTTTTTGGATCCATTTGTTCATCTTACAATTGTCCAACTCAGTTTTGGTCGAGGGGTGTGTATTAAGTAAGTACTCCCTCCGTCCCTTAAAACTTGGCCAAGTTTGACCTGCACGGGGAATAATAAAGTAAAAACTTTGTGATTGAGGTTTATGCAAAGGAGAGAGAATTATCAGTAACCACAAATTCTTTAATTAAAAAGGAAAGTGACAAAGTTAGTGGGACAACCAAAAAAGGAAAGTTCGCAAAGTTGTAAGGGATGGAGAGAGTATTAAGTATTCAAGTGTCACTCACATACAAGATGTTTACCATATATCTGAGTTGGAAATGTTTGCTCATTAAAGGTTCTTTCTCGGAGGAACATAGTTACAGAACCTCTACTCTCTGCTTGTATCCGTAACATAACTACAGAAGTACGGAAAGGTTTATCCTTCGAAGTGCTCTCTGCTTTGGAAGAACGTGATAGGCGTGAAGCAGAAACCATCGAGAGAGATTTATTAAACTTTAAAGATGATTCTTCAATGTCCTTGCCCGGAAGATTAAGTGGGGACAAAGAATGGCGTATATCGAGATCTGAAGCTGGCTCTGATGAAAATTCATCCTTAAGCTCTTTATATTGTCCAGTTCGTAGATGTGTAGATGTACATGTTACTGAGGTGTACAATGCATTCTCTCCAATTTTCTCTAAGCTAGTTGAGGACTTTGCCTCTAAAAGTGAGGCTATCGAAGTATTTGGGGTTTTCAGAAAGATATTAGTTGATCTCAAGAATTCCCCTTTCAGAAACAGAAGAACTTCTTTAAATCCTGCTTCAGATAGTATCCGACATTTTGTCGATAAGATGCTTCCATCTTTTGGTCAATTACTTGAAGCTTTATCATTGAAGAGTGGTTTAGGCATAAGTGGAAGGATAGACATATTTTTAGCTGCTGATCCTGTGAGGACGTCAATTGCACTGCCCGTAGTATTTCATGCTTTGGATGATGTGATCTATAATGTTAGTGTGTGTAACAAACTTGATAAAGATTCACTTGTGTGGCCACTTTTGAAGTTAAACCGGCTGTGTTCTGGTTTAGTGCGTGCTAGTGGGGAGGAGCTACCTTTTGGAATTGTGAGTATTATTCTTTTGTCCTGTTGGGTGGGGGATACCCTAATCTCTAGCTATATACTGTCGTTGTATTCTGTGTTTCTGACTTTTGTTGTTCAAAATACTTTAGGCCTCCTCTGCATTTGATGGAACACGCTTGTCAAAGTGGGAAGAACCAAATGGGGCAACAAGTATGTGTTTCCCCCCCACAAACTTTTCTTTTTTCTCGCACCATAAGTGTAACATCTTCATTTGTTCACGTAATTTAGCAATGCATGATTTTACTTCTTTTAAATGATGTTTGTTTTGCCATTTTCTACTAAATAGAAGAAGAATGACGTGGCGACTAGAAAAGTTAGGTACTTATTCTCACTTTCTTTATTGTGGAGTTCACTAGCAATTAATAGAAAGCTCATTTCACTTCTCTATTTTTTGTTTGTTTCTTTTTTTATTGGGGGGGTCTGTTGAATTGTGGCTTATTTAGTTCAGAATACTCAAGGAGGTTACTAGATTTTTGTTCCCATAAAGAAGATGGTTGCTATTCACACTGACTTGAATCACTTGATATTGAACAATCATTCACTGTGTTGTTTACCACTCCCTTCGTATTGAAATGTTGGCTACAGTGCTACACTTTCCTTTTTGTGATGAATTTTAATTTTTGCTACACTTTCCCGTTTAGTAAGTTTTCCCTTAATAAAAACATTCAAGTACCGTTGTTTTTCTACTTTTTATCTTCTCTTTCATACTTTTCCATCTTCTCTTCTACTTTTTCTACTCTCTTCATTGCCCTTACTACCTTCCCCGTAAATAATATGCCAAACTCAAATGCAGCAAATATTTCAATAATGTGCCAAACAACAACAACAACATCCAAGCATTATTCCCAAAAGATTTTGGGTACGGCTAACATGAATCAGAGCAAAAAAATAATGTGCCTAACTCTAAGAAAAAATTAACTTAGTACAAAGTTATAACTTGCAATAGTTAAGTTCAATAATCTCATCCAACGTTAGTATCAAAGTATCAAGATTTGAGATTCCATCTTAAAAATCAATTTGATATGACGAGTAGTGCAAGTTTTCCTATGTTGGTTTGTGATATTGTATTAAATTTGATGTGAGGTGGCTGAACCCAGCCCACAAAAATCATGAATTCCGTATGCTAAGCTTTTAGGTTTATTGGATTGAATTCTATATTTGACCCTAATATGATCTAATATTGTATATAGTTTTGGGACCATCCCTTAAAAATCAATGGAGAGATCTCCAAGGCCACGTGGCCATGTGGGCTTCATATGTCAGTGTCTAATCGTCTTTCGGCCGTGGCATGGGATCCTCTTTCCCTTTTCTTTTCAGCTTAGTGTCTCTTAACTGTCATTTTGTTCACTAGGTTGTTGGATTGTATATCAAGTTAATGGAGAACAAAAGCACGAGCTTATTGCTTATGAGTTCATGTCAGCTAATGATGCTCCAGAAAGAGATCCAAGGGACTGGTAAGGTGCCTTTAAATTTCAATGGTTCAATACTTCAATTGTATAAATGTAAAGGAGTTTTCCTTATAATTAGTAGTTGAACGGAGAATTGAGAGCTACTAAGCTAAGAACCCAAACAGTTAAGGGGTAGTACCTAATTAGGTCAATTATTAATACTCCCTTCGTCCCATAAAAGTTTTCTTGGTTTGACTTGGATCGGAGTTTAAGAAACTGATAATAAAGTATAAATGTATGGTCGTGGTTGGGTATGAAAAAGGTAAATGAATGTTAGCCACACAAAACTTTCCAAAAATAGAAATAGGAAGATTTTCCAAACTTTAATTTTCCTAGTTTTCTTCCTTGTTTTCTTTTTCAAAGCTTTAATCAAATTTAATTTAAATTGATTGGGAGTTTCCGGAAACAGTCTCTCTGTGCTTTAGTATAGGGGTAAGACTGCGTACATCCGACCGTAGGTGGGAGCCTTTGCAATGAAAATAAAATGAATGGGAGTTTGAAACCACCCTTCAATTTGTTTTTCCAAACTTTAATTTTTCTTGTTTTCTCCCTTGTTTTTTTTAAAGTTCAAATCAAATTTAAAGTGACTTTATACACACACACACACACATTTTTAGAGTACACTTCATTACATTTTAAACTTAATACAAATTCATTTTTAGATATAATTTTGCAATCACAATTTATATTGATTCTAAATATATACACTACATGTCCCTTATTGAAATTATTTATTTATTAAAATAACTTTAAAAAATTAAAAAAAATCGTGTCAAATTTATTTCTCACATAGTGAAATTTGTTAAGTATGATTTCATGTTTTTTTCGCTGACTGATTAGTTTTTATTTATAATGATTTTTGTACTATTTTTCTAAGTGTCCAGTTGCTTTCGACATGCGTGAAATAATATATACTTCCTCCCCCATCTCAGAAAATTCTCCTGGTTTGATTTGGATCGGAGTTTAAGAAAGTGATAATAAAGTGGAATATATGATTGTGGTCGAGTAAGAAAATGTAAGCGAATGTTAGCCACACAAAACTTTCCGAAAATGGAAATGAGAAGAATTTTTTGGGGTATCCCAAAAATATAAGTGAGAAGAATTTATGTCCTGAGGGAGTAGAATGAACTCGCCCCCCTCACTTAAATTCCTGGATACGCCAGTGGATATGATGGTCGTGATTTTGGTATAAGATGCCATGACCAAGAGCACCCTTTAAGTACTTTAGTATACGACTAACAACGTCCCAGTGTGAAGTTCTTGGAGATGACAAAAACTGTTCATGTTCCCTGATAGAGGTTGGTTTTCTTCCTCCCTGATCTTCTAATGCTAATACTGTTCATCTTCCCAGCAATCTAAGCGAAGGTCTTGGTCAACACGGTCAACACACTCCAGCTGCCGCCTTGGTACATCTATTGCTTGTGTTTCAAACACCACGGCCTCATGGATCATTGACTCAGGTGCCTCAGATCATATTTCTGGTGATCCCATCTTTCATCTCATATTACCAAGCAACAACACCTTCCTTTGATCACTCTTGCTAATGGCCTTCAAACCTTAGCCACGGGTATTGGGCAAGCACTTCCCTCTTTCATCTTTACCACCACCACCACCAACAACATTCAAGCCTTAATCCCAAAAGAATTTGGAGTCGGCTAACATGAATCGATCTATGTTCTCAACCCCTTTAATCTTGTCTCTGTTAGCAAAATTACACGTGCTCTTAATTGTTCTATAATCTTTTCTGTTGATTCTGTGACTTTGCAGGACCATTGTACGGGAAAACGATTGGCGTTGGTCATGAATCTCAGGGCCTGTATCATCTCCACCCTCTTGATCCCATCGCGTGTGTCTCAATTAAACCTGCAACTACCTTGCATAATCGTTTGGGTCATCCTAGTTTCTTAAAGTTTCGACGTCTGGTTCCAGGTTACTTAAATCTTTCATCTTTAGAGTGTGAGTCATGTCAGCTTGGAAAGCAACCTCATAAATCCTTAAGCGGTATCTTTTTAGCAAATTCCAAACAAAAAACTTGGGAAAGCTAAGGTACTTCCTTGGCATTGAGGTCTCACAATCTCAAAATGGATCCAAACGTCAAACTCTTGTCAAAGCAAGGAGACCCTTTGCGCAACAAAGGAAAATATAGAAGACTCATTGGCAGACTAAATTACCTTACCATCACAAGACCGGATATTTCATTTGCGGTAAGTGTTCTTAGTCAGTTTCTTGATAAGCCATGTAATGGTCATTGAGATACAGTTATTCGAGTCTTGAGATACATCAAGAAAACACCAGGACAAGAGTTGTTATTCGAAGACCGAGGTCACTGTGATATTGTGGGATACTGTGATGCAGATTGGGTAGGATGTCCGATGGATAGACGTTCTACTTCGGGATATTGCATCTTGGTCGGTGGAAATCTAATTTCTTGGAAGAGTAAGAAACAAGATGTGGTTGCCAGATTTAGTGTTGAAGCAGAATACCGTGTGATGGCCCTTGCTACATGCGAAATCTTGTGGTTGAAGCATCTCCTTCAAGAATTAAAATATGAGAGCACAAAATCAGTTCAATTATTGTGTGACAATCAAGCCGCATTGCACATTGCATCAAATTCGGGCACATTGCATCAAATCCGGTATATCATGAGAGGACTAAACATATTGAAGTTGATTGCCACTATATTCGAGGAAAGATCGCAACTGGACATATTTTCACAAAATATGTCAACACAACTGATCAACTTGAAGATGTTTTAACCAAGTCACGTAGAGGTCCTAGAGTAGAGTATTTTTGTAACAAGCTTGGCGCATATGATTTATATGCTCCAACTTGAGAGAAAGTGTGAAAACCCTAGTTGTATTGGGCTTAGCCCATTTGTGTATAGAAACCCTAATGCTCTAATATTGCTATAAATAGAGCTACTTGTATAGCATTTCAATAGGAAGTATAATGAATATAATCTTATATTTCACATGATCAAAAGTTTGGGAGGGCTGAATATTTTCATTCCGAAGAACACGAATTGGGATTTGATAGAGTCAAATTGGGATTCATTCAAGAATTGGGATTTGATAGAGTCAAATTCTTGTCGCAAACCAGTCAAGAAACTGATAACAGCCACTTGTTCCCTTTGAGCCTGCATAGCTTTTACATCGGCACTTATTGGAAGCAGAGAGTTAAGCTCCTCATATATTTTCTTGAACTCCATGACATAAGTAAGGAGTGACCGATCATGCTGTTCCCCATGATGAAAGGACTTACAAACACTATAGGAAATCAAAGATAGACCATGAGTTCCTTCACATACTCACAGTGACCAACTAGAGAGGAGACAGAAGGCTCTATGGTATTAATAATTTGCAAATACAAACGAGCATCACTTTGTAACCATGAATCAGATTCATCACTCGTTGAAAATTTATATCTAAATGAATTCTCCCCTTCAAATACATAAACTTAGGGATTAAGGTGTTATTTATTAGCGTGTTGAGTAAGACCTCCCACTTTGTGACCCTAGCTGCAAAAGACTGCAAAAAGGAAAATTAGCCTAAGTTGTCAATAGCTGAATGACTCAGCCTAGAAGGCCATATGATAGTCCCCAACATGGTCGAGTCACTCTAACAATCCGTTCAACTCAATTACCCTTACTGGCTTGACATAATTGCTTTTATTACCAATGTATTCAAACATATCTCTAGTATATATCTTAATTATTTGTTTTTTCATCTCAAGTAATCACAATATATTGTCTTTACATAAACTATATAGTTGGAATGTTCTTGTGCCTCGAATACAATTCTTTTTATTTTGGACATACTGACACGTGTCATGAGTAATTGATTCCAATATTCTTTATATAAACAAATTGTATTATATGAACTTTCTATTCATAGTTATCAATCATAGAGTAATTAGTCTTGCCTTGGCTTCTTTGCTGTATACGCCTCTGATGTGTGTTCCTTAGTTTGTTTACCCATATAAACTTGTGTAACCTGCATTTTGTTCTCTTTGAGCGATCCTCAAACCCCTTAATTATTTTAGCTACCTGAATCCTTGATATGTGTCAATTGTGTTAAGTATATGATCTGTATCTATCTTAATTGTGCTTTGATATTTCGTATCTTGGTTGTGATGAACTGCTCATTTGTTTTATTACTACTTACGATTAGAGAGAACCTTCAAATGTTATAACAAATGTTAGAACTTGATCTACTTTGCACATTTCATAACTTTGGGCTTCATGTTTTCAATGTATGCTTGATTATTTTGTGTTTAGATTTTCCTTGTAACATATTGTGCCAATTTGTATAAGTTTTGAATTTTAAGTTCACATGGAGTATATTTTATTTGATACAACCGTACAATTGTAATCACTATCTGTACAAAATATCGAGGGTTAAAAAGAATGAATTCAATAATTTGGTTGGGGTCGCTTAACTTGACTTTAATGCTAAGGGGTTAGAAGGAATGAATTCAATTTCTAATTAGTTAATCCTAAGTCCAGCTCCAAGTCCATGTGTCTCTGTTAAATAACACTTTGTGAAACTCTTACATCAACTAGATTTTGTATGAAAGCATAATGGCGTAGTTAAGTTGAATTGGCTGATGTTTATGTTGGTTCCATCAGGATTCTTGAAGGAAGCGCAAATGGAGGATCAAGTTGGCATGTTTTGGACAAACAAACATCTCAGATATTTAACAAGCGTTTTGAGCGAAAAGTATTTACTGTCAAATCACAAAGTTTCCTGGCAAATGCTTTCAGGTTTAGGTCCTAGCGCCAGCAATCTCTTTACCTTGCTATAAATGATTGGAAGATGAAAACTGTTTTCATAATCAATCAATGGTAAATAATTGGCAGGATAAGATTCCTAGCAGTTCGAGATGGGAAGGCAACCCCACGGTTTCAAGTTGGCAGTATTGATCTCTATGCTAGATGCAATTAAAATTGAGAAAATTGCCCCTTGTATAACCAAAGCATTGTGTGTTGTCCCAAAATATGACTTGTATCTTTTTTTCCTAAAGGAATGCCAAATAACATGGACCATAGTCCCATACCGCTGAGTGTTTCCTTTTTCTTTTTTCATTCCATACATATTTAATGTTTCCTTGTTCTCTAATGTATCGATCCATGTTAGCCGACCCCAATATCTTTTTAGACTAAGGCTTGGATGTTGTTGTATTCCATACATATTTAATCATATATCGAGAAAGAAACATCCATGGTCATATCGTAGGAATTGGCATGAGTTTTATTCAAATTATCATATATATATATATATATATATATATATATATATATATATATATATATATATATATATATATATATATATAGGGAAGGGTTCAAATACAAAGAGATCTTCCCATGCAAAGTGAGAATTAATCTCGTGCGTTCTTTTCGAGATCTAATGGCTCACAATGAGCCAAAAGTGAACTAAATTTGATCAAAAACGCGGTGGCAATTTCGTAATTAAAACGAAGTTTTTTGCCATCGCGAAAAAGTGCAACAGAAACACGCAAAAGTGCAACGCGGTGAACAAAAAGTGCAATTGTTCGCACTTTGCACGAGAGAACCTCTTTTTATTTGACTAACTGACTAAGCAGGGGCTTGGCCGGTTCATCATTATCATGCTTTTGTTTTCACGAATCTCCGAGCAATTAATTGAGCTTAGGACCAACCTTGTCGGTCTTCTTTTGAAATTACTCCCTGTCCCATTTAAACTTTTCCACATGATTTACCACGTTTGACTGACCATAAAGTTAATTGATACTTGTCATTAGTAGAATTATTTTTAGTAAAAAAAATTTACATATTCAGAAACCACATTAAAACCGCTACAAAGTCTGATTAATAAAATTTAAATTTGATACAAGTTAAATATATAAAGTAAAAGATTAACAATAGTGCACGTTATGGGTGGACTCGGACCGGGCCGGTTCCGGTTCGGGTCTGGGCTTATCCGGGCTTTTATTTGAAATTGTGTGAATCGAAACCGGCCCGGGTGGCCGGCGGGTCCGGGCCGGGCTGGGCCTTGTGTGAATCATTATCCGAAAAGTTTTAATTTTCTAATTAATCCCCTAATCCCCCCCTCACCCCCCCCCCCCCCACCCCCAAACCACCCCAAATGGCCCAAAACACCCAGCCCAACCCAGAAAAATAAAAAAAAAATTGAAAAAAGAAAAAAAAAAGAAAAAGACCCGAAATCGGGTTGGGCTTGGCCGGTTCATCATTTGGGGGACCCGAGCCCGCACCGTAAAACCACCAGGCCGGGCCAACCCGGACCGGTCCCTGGCTGGGCCACCGGTTCCGGGTCAGGCCACCCGGCCCGAGTCCAACTATAGTGCACGTTGATCGGAGAATTGTGGACGGGAACCTTTAAATAGGAAAGAGGGAGTATCCTGTAATGTGATTTGGTCCATTTGACTTATGACTGAGTTTAGTCACTTTAGTGTACTCAAACTAAAACTTTATTTTGTATGTAGTATATATGCTTTGTGTCTACGAACACTCTTTCATGCTCTGGAACTCTTGCAAGTCTGCAAGTGGAAGTAGAGATGGACCGGGCCGAGTTTGGGCTCGATACTGGCTCGGGTTTGAATCGAGGCTGGATCGGGTCAGGTCATTTTTTTATAATCTTTTCTAATTTATTCCTACTCCCACCCCCCAAACCCCGCCAAAACACCCAACCCAACCCAGCTAGCAGCGGCTCAATGGCAAAAACAAAAAAAAAGGCCCAGAACAGTCCTGAACCGGCCGGGTTGGTCCATTAAACCAAGGTCCCGAGTCCCAAAGCCTGCCCCATTTTACCCTCTATTCAGGCCCGAAATCCCAATCCTGGTAGGCTGGGCCCGGTCGGTACCGCATAGTAGTGGTCCTTTCCGGGTATCGGGTCGGTCCGAACCGGTCTAGTCCATCCTTAAGTGGAAGTTTCAGTGCATAAGCATTTATCTCGTGCTTCGTATGATACATTTTACGATATTCAAGCACTTTATGGTCCTTGCCACATTCTTCATGCAATTACTAGTAGGCTGTAGGTGGGATAGGCATGGAATTGGGTCAATCTGATCCTGGGTCGAGACCGCCCAATCCTTGCCAGTTTTTGTTTAAGTCCAGATTTGACTCGGTTATTTCAGGTTCCAGGCTGGTTCTGGGTACCCGGTCGGTGCGGTCTTGGTTTTGTACACGATTCCGTTATTATTGTTCCTTGGTTCCAAGGTTAAGGCAATGTTTGGGTAGCAACGGTTTTACCTCCAACTGCTGTTTTTTTAAAAGAAAAACACTACATTGTGTAGCAGTTTGGTTCCAAACCGCTGAAATACAAACATGGCCTAAATGCAAAAAAAACATTATTTTGCCATGTGGGAGCAAAGCTGGGACTGCTTGATCCAGTCCTCAAATCACTGAATTGGGAATCCGTTATGGACAAACACGGTTGATCCATAGCTCAAAACTGAAAAAATGGACCCAATTCAGTCCTCAAATACTACTGGACTGGGCTAGATCGCTGGACTTGGTGCCCTGAGCAGACGAGTTGGATTCATCGTCTACTCATCGCTGGGGATAAGTTGTAAATATACAAGTGCTGATTGTAGTAATAAATATCGATAAAATACTGGATCGATTCACAAGGAAAAGTATGAATTATAAAGTTTGGGAATTGGGATAATGAAAAATGTGAAGAAATGATATAAACTATATGGATTTATAGCAGTGTTTTTAATGTAAGAAAACATAAAAATATCCAAGATATCAAGATTTGCTTAGATGTTACTAGAGTTAAATACTAGTTTATTGTCAATTCTTATAAGTTACATTCTATGTATGCACCTTGTTACAGTTCTCATTTGTAGAAAAAATTGTTAAATAATAAGACATCACATATTTGTACGCGTATCATTTAATGTTCTTAATTTAGTCCTCAATTTTAATTGAAGGTGTTGAGGTATATTATCCCGATCTATCACTGTCCAGGGGCTCAAGGTATTACCACAGTGTGGAGCCTAATTAAGGAGGCCCACCACTGGTCCATTAGAACCAGTTTCGGCCCATCCAATCCATTTTGGCCCACTTGGCTCACTGGGTAGATTTATCCCCTACCCCCTTTTCCCTATAAATAGGGAGTTTTGCTCCCATGTTATTATGTAAAGGGCTGTTTTTCTCTTCTTCCCCAACTCTATTTCTCTCTCTAGACAAGCTTCAATACTCTATTAATGGGAACTCAAATTGTACATCGTAACAGTGAGGAGAGTTCATATATATTTATATCTATATTTACTATTTTGGGTTGGATTAAACTCAACATTGATGCGGGAACCTTGTTGAAAAAGATTGATTGGTGTTCTAGCTTACTTTACAAACAGGGATGGATTTAGGGGGGGGGGAGGGGAGCGGGGGTGCGACCGCCCCCCTTGGACTTTCAAAATTTTCTACTATATATGTAATGTTTTTGTAAAATTTTGATACTTTAATTAGATTCGCCCCCCTTAATTTTTTGTTGAACATTGCCCCCCTTAACTTTTAGTTTTTAAAATTGATATATAGTCTTACATAATGTAATACTTAATCGGAGATTTAAAAAAGGAACATCTAAAATAATTTACATAACTTAAATAAACAATAGAAGAACTCATTATTTGAGATTTAGGATACTTATTTGATGGAGTATATGGGTCTAGGCCCCAGGACCCACATACTCAAAACAGAAAGCAGTCACTACACGGTGCCCTCGTCGGCCATGAGACCCTCGTCGGCCGAAGAGGGGCCAATCCAGAATATGATCTTGAGGCCAAGGAACCAGGGTGTCCTCGTCGGTCGTGCCCGCGTCGGTCGTGGGCCGTCCAGATAGGCAACGATGAGGGGGTGATGGCCCAGGACACGGCGTCATCCCACTCCCACCCCGCTTCCCCTCTTCGGCCTGGGCAGACCCCAACGCGTGGAAAAGCCTCTGCCTTCAATAGGCTAGGTGACACGCACCGTCGTCCAGTTTCGGAGAGGATGGCAGGGCGGATTGGTGAGCGTCGGCCTGGCTCGCCAAGGGAAAGCTTGGGGTCTGTGTCCCGGACAGCGGACCAGCCCCGCCTGGACAAGGACAAGGGAAAATGGCACGAAGACGACGTGCGCCACCAGATCAATGCGGCCCACGACGAGCGCATGAGAAACCAGCAGGGCGCCGCTGCGGCCGCCAGGGACCCCCGGGTCGGCGAACGCCCCCATGGCCAGCGCCTCCAACGACCCTGGCCTCAACGCTCTCATGAACAAGGTCAGCGCCCTGGAAAGGGAGTTGGCCGAAGGACGAGGTGACCCCGTCATCCAGGTCAGGACCAGGACCCCTTTCACCAACAGGCTGCTCTCGGCCCCCATCCCGGAGAAGTACAGGGGAAACGCCATCAAGTCCTACGATGGCCGATCAGACCCCCAGGAACACTTCGGCCGTTATCAGAACAGCATGCTGATGGTGAACGCGTCAGATGAATACCTCTACCGTTGGTTCCTCTCTACTCTTGAGGGGCCAGCGTATGAGTGGTTCAACGCGCTCCCTGAAGGAAGTATTGACTCATGGCAGGACCTTGCCCAACGTTTCCTCACCCACTTTGCCGGGAGAAAGCGCGCGAAGAAGTATTTCACCCATCTCCTCTGCGTCAAGCAGCAGCATGATGAGTCCCTCCGGTCGTTCATTGATCGGTGGACGAGGGAGACCGTGGAGGTCGAGGGGGCCGATGAGCGCACCCTCCTCGTCCTGTACCAGGGGGCCCTCCACAGCTCCCCGTACGCTAGGAGCCTCATCACCGATCCTCCAAGGTCGTACGCAAAGGCGCTCCAGCGCGGAAGCTTGTACGCCGACGCCGACGAGCTCCACAACCACAAGAAAGAGGGAGGCCATCCCTCCAAGAAGACAAATCCTTCGCCGGCCCCGGGTCCGTCCCCGGCCGGCCAGGGTGCCTAGGGCCGTCACGGCTCTGGTGGACAGAGTAAGAAAGATCGCCACTGGCGGCCGAGGTTGGAACGGCCGGGAGTTGCCCTCACTCACCCGGTCGGCACCATCCTCGACTATGCCGAGAAGCATGGACTCATCGAGCAGGCTCCTCGGCCGGTCGAGGAGGTCCTTGCCATCCAGCAGGGCGGCACATACTGCCGGTTTCACAAGAACTCCTCGCACAACACCGACGACTACATCACGCTGACGAAAGCCATCGAGCGCCTTATTCGTCAGGGGGAACTCTCCCAGTTTGTTAAAGG